CCCTTCATCAACGCGATACCAGATCGTATTGATAGTCTTTTGTTTTTAAGTAGGTTTTAGAAACTACCAGAATATCAGGTATATGAGGTGTATTCACCCTATTTCGTTAAATGTGATAAGGGTGAATTCACCTCATATATTGACATAGTTCGTTTGGTTTGCAAAGTTCCAGGCATATTTTCTGACTATTTTACTGCGTTATGCGCTTTTGTATATTCATATATATTCATCGTATCACATATTTTTATTAAAAATATTAGTTATATGCCCTGTATTTTCAGATTTATAGATATTAACGCTTTAACTTTTCCCTGAACAAAGGATCTGGTCGTCTTCATTTCTCTGTTACACCACTTTGATGGGAGATTATTAGTTGATAATGGCGAGGACTCTTCAAGTAGAACGCCCCACTCATGTATAAGGCACAGTATACGAATTCGTACGGGGCCTGTCGAATGGAGTAGTATCTGCAAGGCTACCGATGAATGAAGCTATCATAATAAAGTCGAAGATAGGTAGGCTTTTGAGGCTGGCAAAATAAGGATAGTGGTATGAAAACGAATCATTGGGTCAAGTTGACCATGATATCTTTCGTTTTTCACAATAATAATATACTAATCATGATGGAGAAGATGGTCTACATATAGGAGATTACTTGAAAGTATTTTCCCAGAAGGTCAGCAAGCATGATGTGCATGAAATGCTATAGAAAGATGATACAAGAGGCGATCCTGATTCTGGTCTCATCTTGAGCTTCTGTACATGTAATGGTTGATCCGAAGCCAGTGACTAAGTTGTAAACTCTAGCCTATCCACAAATGAAAACGAAGAAATTAGCTCTTTAATCATACACCTTGGCGATAAAAAGGAACCATGCTTACCATACTAAACGCTTTGAGTCAGATTTGTAAAGCTGTTTACATGAGGAGAATGAAATAGAAACTATTAATTTGGACAATTTGCTGCTAATATTTATTCGCTATTTAGAATGACAAGAGCCTAATCATAACAGAGAACATCATTCACACCAGAAGCGTTTTTTGACGGGTTTGGCAAACATTGTGCGTATGCAGAGCTGAGAAAAGGTGGTAGACGAAGCGATCCTCATGCTGGTATCATTCTGAGCATCTGTACATGTGGTGATTGCGTTTAGTCGTAAACTCAAGCCTTGCCGGAAATGAAGACGAAAATGGTCTACTTGACCTTTTGTTCGGTTGCGGTCACCATTCGTTTTTAGAAGTTGGCTTTCCCTCGTTGTGGCAATCAGAAGATTGTGAGAAAGGCGGCCAGAGCTGCGTCCATCACAACTCTTAATGTCCATCCCAGGGGATCAGATTCATTTGCAAAAGGCCTCATTTTTGGCATCTTCAGTGAGCAGAGCCCTTTTTTTAGACAAGAAAGCATGACATCATCCCTTGTTATGCTGGCGATATTTCTGGGATGGTACTTAGTCACTGCTCCGAGGCCGGAAGAGGCATGCCAGCACTAGTATCGTCTTCACAGTCACCACGACCAAAGTGCCAAAGCGAGGTCAGGACAACTTGAACTTTTATAGTTTTCTTTGGTGCCTAAGAGCGAGTTAGATGATGGGGCACTTCTGGCACTCATGGGCTCCTTCTGTGAGGAGATGAAAACTAGTTACGTCTTGGGGATTAGTCTGCAAAGGGAGAGGGACCATTAGACCAAAGGTGATGAACTTGAGGCGGAATATGATTCGATATGGGAACATGAGGTTGAGGCGACTAAATGGATGAGCTGAGACGAGGACAGTATGGATGAAGAGGAGGCTTGGGTTGGTAGCGCTGCCATTGTGGATGCAGAGACCGTCGCTTCGTTTGCCACGTAGAATTATGAATTTTGGCAATCATTTACCTTTTATCGAATCCGTTTTTAGCCTAATATTTATCCTTTTGAAAATTTTCAGATTCTTTTTCGAGATAATAATGTTGAGTTTAGTATCCTTTGCGTTATTTTGTAAATAATGGCTTCCTGCTCTGATGTCTAGAGACAAAATAATTTAGCACAGATTCATTAGAGTCGCAGGACGGGGAGCCAAAGATTTCTCTGTTAAATCCAACAGCCATTACTTCACGGCGATCCTCCTTCTTTTCCCGATGAAGCGTATCCCTAATTCCTTCTAACCAACTTCTATTCGAAATGGAAAGTCATGTTACAAAGTCTTGTGAGTCGGGAAACCAGAGGTATTTTAGCATGGGGCCAGTACAGAACACCTGATCAAGTGGTCTAAGACCCCAAGTTTTGCATGATGCTAATTCCTCACGGCCAAGAGGAAGATGAGTCAGTGCAAGCATATGATGTAAAGATTCGAAGGTTGATCCCACCAGAAGACAACTGCCGATTTCTCTTGGCCAGCTGTCGAAACGGAAACATTCTTGTTGAATACGTCCCCGAGACAATCTTCTTTTATTTTCATGAAAGCGAGCTAAGCTTTTGCCTTTCATGTGACACATAATCAGTGCACAATATCATGTTTAAAACCATATTCAAGCTAACGAGCTAAGAAAATTTGTCGACTGATTCATAAATGCTGTATATATACCCTAAATCTATGCATTTTGATGTGATCTGAGTAGCTCAAGTCATATGTCAATTTAGAAAACCGTGTCCGTTTGTGTGCACTCATGTGTACGCATATGCATGAAACTAGCAGTGATAGCTAAGAGTAGTTAGAACAGAACCTATCATCCATCCTCGCTAGTCAAGGTTTTATGGCATTTTGGCAACCACTCAGATTGAATAATTTCGGACACTGGTCTGATTAATTTGATGAGTTGTATATTTGTGTATGAGTAAGAACGAGTGTACTAGGACGTATAGAATGTGTGATCCTGACTACATATGATTATTTGAACCGTCTCATTTTGATATACGACTCACAGTTTCTATCCCTAAGTCTATTAATTGAACATAGATAATTCTTACTTTAATTTTGACAAGTGTATTGTATATTAAGTTGAGTTGTATGTATTCTCCACTTTTGCACACAGCTGCAAGCAGACTATAGTCAGCAAAACTACTAGTTTGAGGCTATTCTACCTCACGCTCGGATTTTCGCTTGTGGTACGCTACCTTTGTTTTTTGAACCAAACAGCCTCTACAGGCACTCTTTTAACGAATGGCACGACAGGTCAAGGCGACCACATGAACATATTTTGTTATAACAACCTGATGGGATATTGCACCAGTTTTCTCCCTCAAAGTCGAAATAACTGAGGAAATTGTCACAGGGAGTTAGTTATAGGGAGATAGGTACCAGAAGGAGGAACAATTCTGGGTAAGAGGAGGAGAGTGTATTAGCATGTAGTCTGTTTTGGACGCATACATCTTATCTTACTCATCAGCCTTTCATGTACACAATGAACGTACTCTCTCATAATAAAACATGCATTGGCTTATTATATTTATTGGTAAAACTTTCATTACATATGATAATGGAAGACGACGGCTGATTTTCGTTAGTCTGCAGCCGTTTGGTTTCACAAAAATATTCGGGTTTACGCAGTCCACGAGACATCTTCCCTCATTTCGAGTAAAAATGGGCTGGGGTTTCGTCTTTCATGCCATTTGAAAAATGCTTTCAGACCTACAAGTTATTATATCAAAGGCCTCAAGCTAGCATTAAGTCAAATTTTCTTGAGTTGTAATAATTATTGTTGGGGAGGCTTCCATTTCGTATGAAAGTGCATGAATAAGAGAGTCGGAGGCTGATTCCCGTTGTACTGCAGCCGTGTGACTTTACTACGACGTTCAATTTGGCGCAGTCCACGAGGCATCCTCCGTCGTTTTGGCTGAAAACAAACTGAGTTTTCCTCTACCAGATGATGGGCATCATCAGAGTTAGAACAAATTTTTGTAACAGTCTTACGTTAACACTGTATCAAGAAGACTATCAAGCTCATAACTAAAGAAAGTAAATGCATAGACAAAGATAGATATACAATAGCTTTGCTAATTCGTTTTCATATTAGTCATGGCACTTTTAGTTGGATGTGCCTCTGTGTCTGTTTATTAATGTGTATACACAATACCGGTCCTACATCAGTGTGATTAAATAATGTTGTCATAAGAAATTAATCAAAACCCTGTTAGCCTTTGTACCTACAACGTACGTATGGTTCAACTTCTTGTTTATTGTCTTCTTGCTACCCTGTAACTAAGTAAACTATATGTCGTTATTAGAATAGCTAAGACATACTCCACATACGAAGAGTCTTCTTGAATTAGTATTAACCTACGACTTCGACAAGAATCGGTTCCAGCTCCGATGATGTTCAGCATATGCTGGACGAAAGCCTGGGAGAGAAGATGTCTCGCGGACTGCGTCAACCTGAACATCGTATTAAAACAAAACAGTTGCAGAACGACAACGAGTATCAGTTATCGTCTTCTGATGTGATCGACCTACGAATCTCTTCTTCATGCCCCAACAATAAATCTAATCAGTATCTACAAGTGGATTTGAAACAGGGTCGGGAGAATCGTTGATACCATTTAATATTCCCCTACAAAAGTCGAAACTGCTGTCCAGGCAAAGCCAATCCGAAATCTTAGGAGAGTCATCAAAACACATTTACACTTCTTACCTACCTTGTAATGGTTCACTGCCAAATGGCAATGGTTCAGCCTATTTTTATCCGAAACGGAGGAGGATGCTGCGTCAATAAAAACTTTGCTATAAAATGTAACGGCTGCATGACAGCGTGAATCAACCTTCGTCTTCTGGTGAGATCGACATATGCATCTCATTATCATGCCCTCTTAGATGAAGTAAATGTCTCTCTAACAATGTTGGAGTACATTTCATTTCGTTTGAAGAAGCGAGTGACAGGGAATTGTAAGTTGGCCTCATCGGAAGGTGCAGGGGGATTGCTGTATAGCTGTGCCTGTAGAATTGTGCGAATAGGTCCTTGGCGTACTGCCCTGAGACCCCGACGAATCCATGATGAGCTGTCGTTCGCCATGTGACTGACATCATCAAAGCAGGACACTGTGCTGTGCGATAATTCACCAAGCACAAAGACAAGAAAGGTAGACGGCTGCAAACCTACCTGCTTCTTATGGTCAAATTTGGTCCCCATAATTAGGCATCTCATGTTTGGGTTGGATAGTCTATGTTTTGCCTAAATTTTTAAAAAAGATGAAGCGTGAAACGGATGCAATTGCGGCCGAAAAACTGCATCCTCCCTAAAACATTTATGCCTTTGATCCTGCAATGTTGCCACATGTGATTGCCTCCCATTGCACGTGTGTTGTGTACCTGCATTACTCTTGAGACGAGTGTGATTGGAGAATAAAAACCAGATTCAAGTCTAATCAAGCCTCTTGCTCTTGCTTGGCGGTCCTTCTCGTTCCCCCGTCTCTTTAACTCTGTCCGACAGCCACAAGTAGTTTCCACCTAACTTCATACACTAATTCCTTCTATTCAGTGTGTTGGCTATTTTGTTAATTTCTATCGATTCACTAATTTTTCGCTTTCTGGAACAGTCCCCATATCCAGCTACGTTTTTAGCATTAGACCAAACTATCTGGTCTCGTGTGCTCGGCTAATTCGGATTTCGAGACTCATATACCCTTGCAGGTTGTATTGTGTTCGGATAACCTCTTATGTATGGGCCTACAGGCCTCTCCCACATAGCCACTACCAAATGAACACAAAATCTCATAATGACCCGATCCGGAGGGAGGGCCAGGATATTATCAAAAGAGACGCTTCCGAGGAAAGTGTTATTTTCACTTTATAAATGGTTCTGATGTCCGACCTCCTCAGTGATTCGTCTATATTCTTAGACAGATTACACGATGACAGCATAATGATTCTGGTAGAGTGGCCTAACTTTTCATTTAGCCCCAAATATGTATTTCCCCTCAAACTATTTGCCAATATTCTAAAATAATTTTCAACCAGTCCTCG